CAGAGCAGGACAAGACAGAAGTGGTACGCGGTTTGGTTGCATAACGCAGGCTTTGTCTTTTGCTTTTACCACGAAGAAATTAAAAAGAGTCTAAGATTTTCCCATACAATGTAATGTGACCTCGAAATCCGTCCTTCGGCAAAATTACATCGAAAACATTTTCATACTTATTGTGATTAGTAGGTCACAAGTTCTCTTGCAGTACGGATTGTTGATGTTTTTGACAGGAGATGGTTTCGCGTGGTGCGCATTACACACTGCCTCTGTACTTCGAAGCGTACTTGTGCACTAGAGTCAGGCCCACGTATTGGTAAGCAAACCGCTCTTTTACCTTCTATGGCGCACAAAATTGCACACTAACAACTCACAACTGGAACCAACTCAGTTGGTTAGGGACGCATTGCAATGCTCTCTCCATGCACATTTTTTTGTTTATTCATCTGGCACATTCATTTTCAGCAGACGCGTACAATAGTAGCTCAGCTCTGAAGTGTTCAATGGTTAAGTCAAAAATTGAAGGTCGACTCTGTTTCCCATGCCTCGTGCACAAATGTTTAGACATCGTGGCCTGGTAAAGATGGGCGTCAGTTTTTATTATTAAAAAAACATGCGCGCTAGATTAAGCGGGTATGTGGCGATTCAAATTCCACGTCCATACACAAGCAACTGTGTCGAGTTTGAGAACTACTGATTGCTAGTGCACATTTCTTTAAAAGTCGTTCTTTGACTTTCCTCCGCAAATGTAGCCACAGTCGTCGGGCGCTATGCGAGTGTTCTGATGATGTCGCCAATCATGAACAATTTAGCGAAAATGAAGCTCTCAATAAACTTATCGCCAGCAGGAACGAGGTGTTTATTAAGCGGCCAACTAACACATTCGGTCAATTTGAAACTCCTTGCTCGAATTTGGTGGCTGAGGTAGGTTCTGACTACTGAAGCAATTCTAAGACAGGAGTTTTCAAAAGATGAGATAATTGAAGCTTACCAAACGAAACCACCGGTAAACATCTGTCATGAAGTTTCACCTGGTGGTCAAGATGAGACGAACCTTCATCTTTACAGCAATTCCTTAAATAAATGGTCTGAGAAAATGAAAAATTTACATTTAATGTTGGCATGGACGCGTGGTTATACGTTTTTCACGATTTCAGTTTGTGCGCATTGCCGATGATACTCCCTTTGATAACCTTGCTGAATTATTTTTTGGAATTTGGAAAATGAGGAAACCCGACCTTGCACTTACCCTCTACGGATCGGTGCCCCAGCAGAAGCCTTTTCAAAAGAGGTTCATTAACATGCTCTTCAGCGTCTTTCAAAAAACCTGTGAGTCCACCGTGTTCAATGCAATGTGAAATAAGGTGACCTATTAAAGCTCTGTAACAAATTAACCGTTTTACGTTATAGTCTTTTGTTGACAGATTACTAATTTCCGGTGCACCAATAAACTCACCCATGTTTATGCTGGCATTTCGATAATAGAACCTATAAACACCAGCGTCTGCGGATGGTGACCCTTCTATAGCCCGAGGTGTAACTGCTTTTCAGTGACGTGGGTACTGACGGATGGCACCTACGAAAGCATAGCTGAGACGATGTCCCAGGGGATGCGCGGCTACGCGGAGGCCTACGGACTGACTAAGTTACAAGTCATTGGTATCGCTCCCTGGCGGCGTATGTCCTTCCAAGCTGACCTTCACACCACTGATTTTTTGGTATATCTTTGCTACTCGTTACCTACTTCTGACAGGGTTGTAAACAGCTAAATCACGATGAATTTACCGAATACTTGAGCTAATGATCCGATGTAAGTAGTCACTAAACAGTATGGCCACGACCAGGAATATCAGAGTGCCTAAAGTCCTAGTGTTGCTCCTTTTTTTCAATGCTGATAACGGACTGTGCTAATTTATTCACAGGTCAGG